CGGATCACTCCAGTGAAGATCATTTTGAATCGGATGAAACGATTATTTTAACCCAGCCCTAGTGATGACAGTGTGTGCATTTATTTAGATATTGGAAGGGTCCATGTTTAGTGAGGAATACTGATCTATTGTACAAACAATTCCAGCGTAGTGTTAATCCATGCTGTAACCTTCACCAGTACATTTTATACATTTTCCATGTGCTATTATCTCTACTAAATGGAATGATGGTGTCAGCATTAGTGTTTTTGAGAGACCATGAAGCAGGACTGAAACCCTGATCTCCAGTGGACAGTGGACACTGATTACTAACTCAGATTATCATATTTATTTGTGTGTGTGTGTGTGTGTGTGTGTTTTTGTGAGACAGATAGTGTGTGAAGACGCCATTGTCTGAACAGCTCAGCCTGCACTGTGGAGGCAGCACTTCTTCCTTTCCTTCATCAGAGCTAATGCCTTGTTGGCTCCATCCCCCCTCATGCCACTCTGTGTTTCAGTTCCACACTGTTGTTTGGTGGCAGACATCTCAACGCATCATTGGTCAGGCCACTAAACAAATGGAAATCTGCCAGCACACTGAAATTACTGATAGTTATCTCCCTCTTCTGACACCACCACTTTTGCAGACTCCCTCCCTTCAGCCCCTTCTCTTGTGCTTCTTTCTGTCAGCCATCTTTCACCATACCGCCTCCCCTCAGTGCAAGAAGGGCTGAGGATTTACTTTTTTTTTTTACTTTGCCCCTTTATTCTTATTCTTTCCGTCCATTTAACTTCCATCCAGATGCTGATAGATGAATGATTATGCTGAGTCATAGTTATTTACAATAGAGATGTAGAACTTAACCGCAGATGATCATCTTAAATCCTATAAAGAAATGCTTTGGAGGCATTTGCGTAATCACCATGGACGAAAGAGGGAAATTTGACCTGTCAAAAAATTGTCATCAGTCGACATACATTCAAGTTCATATGCTTAATTACGCTCAGATGGTTGAAGGCAGCATTCATTCTACAAGGCGTAGTGGTGTTACGCACCACAACAGAAACAAAAGAGGAAGATGAGATAAAAGTGTCAGATGATAGTGCTGAACTGTGTCGCTGTGAACTGACCAGGTTATCATTACGTTGTTGGTCAAAACACACACACGGAGTGCACTCCGTCTGTGATCCTTAGCACTCCGGCCTCTAGTTTCCCGGCACGGCGCAGAGTGATGAACCCCGTGCAGAGCTAGTTTCGAGCAGCGCAACCCGAGGCGCACTCAGTTTGGTAGTTTGGCAGACCGAGGTGCGCTGAGATGGGTGTGGCAGATCAAGCTTGGCGCAGTGACAGTTTTGTGCCAAAAGGCTTCGCCGAAGGTACGCTAAAAGCTCGTCAGCTGAAACCAGGTCTACTGTCAGCGCAGGCGGAGTGCAGCCGGTGTAAGTCAAAGTTTGGCTGACCGGCGGACAGTGCGCACACGTCACCAAAACCTCACAGGCAGGTTTCCAGAATGTCACGCACATTAACAATGCAATAAATACCCACAAAAACCACTATTCAATGCAACTATCTGCAATCAGCACATAAATTTATCTCTATATCGACTGTCTCGTCACATCTGATGTCAGATCAAAGGGGATTGACACCGTTTGGCACGTTTGGCACGCGTAATGAAAACCCAACCTGATTTGATTAACACAGCTGCAAACTAATGAGTTCCCATCCCTCTCAGCCAACCACAAACAGCCACAGCATCAGATAAGGAGTATATATTGTCAGTTCACGAAGTCTGACCTCCTGTCCTTTCCCTGACCCAGTATATTTGTGCGTAATAGAGTGTCATTGTGCACGCAAGGCATTGTCCTCTTCTCATTGGCAGTTCCACTTCCTCCTTCACCACACCACGCCCCTGCCTCCTGTTAATCTGACTCCTTCCCGCTGGCGGTGGGGGCGTGGTTCCTGTTTTGAAAGACAAGAGAGCAACACAACTCCCTACACGTGCTGTACCTTACTATCTGTTCATCACTTTCTATTCTTTTTACCATATATGAAACTAATTATCTAAGCATTGCGGTATGTGCTCCTCAGACTTCATGTCTCTTCCTCTCCTGTACTTCTCCACTTCTGCAAAGCAAACACATTCAGATCAGCTGAAATCATCTCAGTATTCTCATTGTTCACACATCTAAAACTTATATAGTGAAACACAACTTATAGTAAAACACATAACATCATTCTATTCCCAACAATATTCGGCATCTGTCATCTTAGAAAAGTCAAAAGAAAAGAAACAGAGTGAGACTGCAAGAGAGAAACAGAGAGTGCGCCTGCACGAGAGAAACGCAACATTGATTTACAATTGTGGTGACCTCCTCCCAGGCTACCTTTGCATCATCAGCCCGTGGAGGTCTACTCACAGTTCCCTATATTCGGACACTGCAAGCTTGGACCTCCCAGACCAAAACATCAGTTTCCTCCTGGGAGAAGTCTGGCCGTCTGACGCTGCTGCCCTCTTCTGCCATGGCGAATTGAGTAAACTCTCATTACGTCTTCGTGCGCCGCATTTAAGGGTGAGGAAAGGGGCTCATTTGATTGGTGTGATGTGAATCGGCTGTGTAAAACCCACTCCACGCCTTCTCTCCTCCCTCTTTCCATCTCGCCCAGTCTGCGAAACTAGAGGCCAACATCTCATGTGCACACAACTACACGCTGATATCTCAACCCCCTGCACCAGCCAGAAACAACTGCTTATATAGACCCTTCCATCAGCAGGAGTCAATCTAGGCTGTACCGTACCATTTCTGAAAGGGAACCAACACCTTTTCAGAAACAGGTAAATATAGAGTTCAACTTTCTTACTTGCCTCAGAGCACTCAGCCAGAGCGTACCATTTAACATACATTAACAGATGACAAACACAAGTATCTCACTTACCTAATTTACCTATGACGGTGAAAATGGGGACAAATGATGTCTTCTCACTCACTTTGTTACACTGCTCAGTAACCCAAGGAAAACACACTCAGTTTTAGGTTTAAATCACAGCAGCAAACCAGTCTCTCACTTTTGCCTATATCATACTTTTAGGAGGTATGTTTGCTCATTTGCAATGTGAGTATTAACAAGATAAGGCAAGGCAAGTAAGAGCATGTGAGGTCGACTAAGTGGATCTTCCAGAGACCATTCATTTTTCATGATTTACTTTAAACAGAGCTTTAGCATTAAAGCATAGGCCTCAACTCGTCTCTCTCATTACATGTTTGAGCGAACTATGTTGTGTGAGGTGTGAGGAGATGACAGCAGTGGCCATTTTGTTTGTTTGTCCCCTCCCCCTTTGTTTTGTGGGGTGGGTCTTCTTGCAGAGGACATGAAAGCACTCATGCAGCACTGTGCATGAGGGGGTGCATGCAGATCCCTGTAGCATTTTTGTGGCTGTGTTGTGACTGAGCCCAGTCTGGTATTTTTGCTTAAGCAACAGTGAGTCAATTAGAGATGATCTCACAGGTAATGACTCCTGACTGGAATTTTTTTTTCTGTTTTATCCCTTTATCTCTTTCTTTCAGCACTTCCCTGTTTCTCTTCTGCATTTCTCTTTTACCAATATTACAAACACAGTCTGTACACCCTATCCTGACCTTTCTCTGTGGTTTTCCCTCCCATCTTTGCTTCTTTCTGTTTCATCACAAACATAACCACTGTGTCAAGATTAGGCCTTTGACGATGTTAAATGATAGTTATCTGCAGGCTCCCTTGACTTCTCTCATCATTGGCATTCCTCTTTGTCACATGTTGAATATTGGTGGTGCTGTTTATATGTCTGTTCCAAATGTCTTACATTATCCAGTGATTATTACTTGATTTTACCGATTTTTACTCACCTAAAAGTATGTTTTCAAAGTAATAATCATAAGTAGTCTTTTTTAACCTTATACATCTGTTTTCTTCTACACATTCTCACATGTCACATGGTCATGGACTTTCCATGTCAAGGTATGACATCCAAGGTACCCTGGGTGCATTGGTTGTTGATGTTCTTGGGTGTTGTGCCAACTTCGGCCTGTTACATGCATTGTCTGTTTTAAAAATATATTTTAGTTTTCACAAAAAAGTACAGTTTGCATACAGTGTCTTTCAAAATAAATGCACTACCTCGGTACATCATTGCAATTTGACTTTTTTTTTCCTTCCTTTTTTCCTTCCTTAGGAAAAAATGAACAGGGTTTGGCTTTAAAATCGTATAAGAAGGAAACACCTGGGTGAAGGTCTGTGGTTGTTGGACACATCCACTATGCCTCCCACCCAACATACTCTCTCCCTTAACTTCTGTCGTTGTCTCACCGCGTTTCCCTCTGACGCCACTGGGTGCCTTTAAACAATGCCTTTAACAGTGACTGGCCAAATATCGTGCCGACACAAAAAGATGGCTTTTTTCATTGGTGTCTGACACCAGAAGGTCACTGCCCAAACATGATTACTTCAGAGTGAGACGGGTTTGGTTTTCTTGCCTTTTAATGTATACCCACTAACTTTTGACCCAGGAATGATAAAAAAAAATGGCCACACACCTTGATTATTTAGATATTAGGCACATGAAATGAATGGACTTGATCTCAGCTATGTTAAAAAAAAAAATAGAGACATAAATGTCTTGTTGTTTTAATCAGGAAGCAGCAGATCTAAAAGAATTGCTACTGTCTTGCACTGTCTTATGGAGATTTGTGACTGGACTTGGACTTGCCCTCAAGGACTTGAGATATGCATTGAGAGTTGTTTTGACAGGATTTGAATCTTGGGCTGGATTTGTACTAACATGATTTTTTAGCTCTAGTTTCTGTTTTCATCTGAAATCATGACGCTGATGAAGATATTCAAACCCAAACTAATTTGTTTTAATTGCTGTACTTTTCATTAAATAGAAATATTGTTAATGTCATGGGCCTAATTGGAATTTGGCAAACTGTCAGATGACTGAAAATATACTATTCCCAGCACCTCTCTTCTTTTTTTCTCCTCACCACAGCCAGGGAAGAGAATGTGGCCACTTTCCGTGGCTCAGAGTACTTCTGCTACGATCTCTCCCAGAACCCCATCCAGAGCAGCAGTGATGAGATCACACTCTCCTTCAAGACGTGGCAGCGCAACGGCCTTATCCTTCACACCGGCAAGTCTGCTGACTATGTCAACCTGGCGCTGAAGGATGGAGCTGTCTCCCTCGTTATCAACCTGGGCTCCGGCGCTTTTGAGGCCATCGTAGAGCCAGTCAATGGGAAGTTCAACGACAACTCGTGGCATGATGTCAAAGTGACCCGCAACCTCCGACAGGTAAGGCACAGAGGTGGATGTACAAAATAAAACTATACTGATGATGATGCATAGCAGTTGAGCTAAAACATGGTACGGGGCTGTGAAAATGTCAGTTTAATGAGTGAGATTGAGTGAGATTTGGTGAAGTCAGTGCATTTTATGAGTAGAGTTATTCCATTACCCACAGCAGGGGTTGGGGTCTTCACTTCTCAACCCCAAGGAATTTTGTTAAAAGTTCCACAGTCAAATTCTCAATTTTGAAGCATTTATCGATGCAAAGTCAATATTCATGGTCAATGACAAATAAATATATAAGCAGTGGTCGAATTGAGGGGGGATGAGGGGGGATGCCATCCCCTTTGTTAGAAAATTGACCAAAAAGCATCCCCCTTATTAATCTAGAATCTGCGTGTGCAGGCACGGACGTAATTTGAGAGAGGGACACAGGGAACATGTCCCCCGCACTTCCTGTATCTGTGCCCTCTGTCCCCCGCACTTTTTGCAGCCGTTACAACTGTTCAATTCGTTTTTAACATGTGGTAACGTGTTTTTCCGAGCCGTCTTTAAACGCACCATGAGTAGACTGCGTCGGGCGCATACACATGCTGTCATGTTGTGATCTGAATCAATCGCACAGATGAGACAGTGGATGGACAGTGCCGCTGTGTTAACTATGTTCAGCAAACCAGCTAGCAAGGAGCAAAAAAACTTGTAGCTACAGTTTCTTCCAAACAAACTGTGTAAGTTGAGTAATGCTGTTGCATGTAGATAATGTTAGCTAAATGATGACTAATTAATAGATGCCAATGTATCAAGTTAAGCTAGTTAACAAGAACACTAATATTAATGTTACCTATGTTAACTACCTTGCTAGCTAGTTTCGTGCTAGGAAAAAACCCACTCCTCCTTAATAAGAACTTGTGCTCACTAATGCTTTGCACATATTTTTTTAATCTTTATTGCTACAATATAAAGAGCAGGGTCAGGAAGGAGACAGTGGACCAGAGGCCAGCAAGGATGATCATGCAGGGTCCTTACAGGTGAGGAGAGATTATAGCTGGCTGAGAGAAAATATCTAGAGTACAAAAGTGACTGTGTGATTAATTTCCACAGCTATGTCACCAATACTATTCCTAATTCTATTCATGAATTTTGCTTTGCACATTTATTATCTATATTAATGCAATAGATAGAAGAGGGAAAGGGAGAAACCAGGCAGGTATCAGGACAGGGACCTGACCGCATCACCAATTATCAGCCCAAGGAGTAAGGAGAAATTATAACTGGCTAAAGAAATGTCTATAGGATAAGAGTGACTCTAGGATTAATTTTCACAGCTATTTTAGAACTACTCTTATTTATACTCTAAACATTTTTTTGTCTGTATTGCAATAGCAGTATTACTGCATTATTTGTGTTTTTAAAGGCAGCAGGTATAGGTCATGCCATTTTTCTTTATCTTGATTAATTTTGCACATCTGTGCTGTCATATTTGATTATGTGTGCATGCAAAAAAATCAAAGCTACATTGCATCCCCCTTGTTAAAAAATAACAATTCAACCACTGTATATAAGTGATCAGCATACTTGCTAACCTCCAGACCTCATAGCTATAATGATGTTGTTTAATCTCCCTGAGTGACTGACAAAGCTGAAACCACTAACTCACTAAATGCTTTTTGGTGCATCATGCTATTTTTGGACTATTTCTATTTGACAATTTATATTTAATGAAACTGATTCCTGAGATAGCAAGAGCTCCAGCAAGAAAAAAGGAAATGTTCATTTGCATGAATTAGTAAGGTAACATATATTATTTAGATAATTGTTGAGACAGCAAGTATCTATTCCACCTACAGTATCTCACATAAGTGAGTACACCCCTCTCATTTTTGCAAATATTTAATTTTATCTTTTCATGGGACAACACTATAGAAATGACACTTTGATATAACTTAAAGCAGTCAATGTACAGCTTGTATAGTAGTATAGATTTACCTTCCTCTGAAAATTACTCAAAACACAGCCATCAACATCTAAACAGCTGGCAACATAAGTGAGTACACCCCACAGTGAACATGTCAACTGTCCCTTGTCTACAGTCAAGTATAGTTGTGGCAGCATCATGGTTTGGGGCTACATGAGTGCTGCCGGCTCTGGGGAGCTCGGTTCATTTAGGGAAACATGAATTCCAAGCAGAGCATGATCGCCCCCCTTCAGAAACTGAGCTGTAATGCAGTTTTCCAACATGATAATGACCCAAAACACACCTAGAAGATGACAACTGCCTTGCTGAGGAAGCTGAAGGTGAAGGTGATGGACTGGCCAAGTATGTATCCAGCCCTCTAACTCACCTGTGCACCTGTGGGGCATCCTCAAGCTGAAAGTGGGGTAGCGCAAGGTGTCTTCACATCCATCTGCTCCATGATGTCATCATGGAGGACTGGGAGAGGATTCCTGAAGCAACCTGTGAGCTCTGGTGAATTCCATGCCCAAAAGGGTTAAGGCAGTGCTAGATAATAATGGTTGGCACACAAAATATTGACAGTTTAGGCACAATTTGGACATGTTCACTGTGGGGTGTACTCACTTATGTTGCCAGCTGTTTAGATGTTGATGGCTGTGTTTTGAGTAATTTTCAGAGGAAGGTTAATCTATACTATTATACAAGCTGTACACTGACTACTTTAAGTTACATCAAAGTGTCATTTCTATAATGTTGTCCCATGAAAGATATAATGAAATATTTGCAAAAATGGGAGAGGTGTACTCACTTATGTGAGATACTGTATAATCTTTAACTTGAAGATTAAAAAAAGGGACCTGCATGTAATATTTTTAGATCTTGCAAATGCGTTTGGTTCAGTACTACATAGCCTCATTTGGAGTGCGATTGACTACTTCAAAGTGCCACAGGTAGTTGTTAACTTAGTGAAAGCATATTTTCAGGATATTAGATTGTGTCTAAGTACGGCAGGTTTCACAACAGGTTGGCAGAGGCTAGAAATAGGTATTATGGCAGGGTGTACAATTTCTCCATTAGCATTTACTATGGCAATGGAAGTAATCATCAGGGCTTCCAAGTGGGTGGTAGGTGGGGAGAGACGGCAGAACAGGGTGCATCTTCCAGTTAGGACTTAGATGGATGACATGACACTGGTGACCACAACAATGCCATGTACAAAGAGGCTACTAGAGAGGGTAAATAAGAACCTCAAGTGGGCCAGCATGAAGATCAAGCCTAGTAAGTCTAGAAGCATCTCAATACGTAAAGGGAAGTTAAGTGATAGGAAGTTTGTACCACCTACCTAAGCTCTTTACTGACTTTTCCCTAATTGTTGGGATTTCATCATCTTCTATGACAATGTGGAGTTGAATGATGAGGAACAGGTGGTGAAATTTAGAAAAGATGTGGCTGAAGGATTGGATAGAATAGATAAATCAGAACTTCCAGGAAAGCTGAAGTTGTGGTGTTTGCAGTTTGGGCTATATGCCAGGTTAATGTGGCCACTGTCAATTTATGAAATTCCAATATCCATTGTGGAGAGAATGGAAAGGTCAATTAGCTCCTCTATTAGGAAGTGGTTGGGCGCCCCTAGGTGTCTAAGAAGTGTTGCATTGTATGGAAAAGGGATACTTCAGCTGCCAGTATCTAGTTTAACAGAGGAATTTAAATGTACCAAGGCCAGGATAGAGCTGTTGTTGGAACCCAAGATCGGCAGTTCAAGAGGCAGAGGCAGCTCTTAGGCACGCAGAGATTGTAGGTAATGTTCAGTTTGGCCGTAGAGGCCTGGGGCTTGGCTCAGGCAAATCGGTATGGAATAAAGCAGGTCCCAAAGATAAAAGAAAGCTGGTTGTGGAACAGATATGTAGACAGGAGGAGATATTAAGGGGTGCAAAGGTGCCCAGGCTAAGCAGGAACAGTGGTTGAATTGGGAAAGTGTAGAGAATAGGAAGCTTAGATGGAGGAACCTGTGTAATCGTATTAGATTCCTGGTAGGGGCTACATACGATATGTTACCAACCACCCAGAACCTAAAACTGTGGGTAAATGGGGACCCATCATGCCCATTGCTTTAAGGTTGCGGTACCTGAACACATGTTTTGTCAGGCTGTAAATTTAGCTTGTCACAAGGCCGGTATACATGGCGACATAAGCAGTGTTGAAAAGTTTAGCTGAAGGCATCGAAGGGAAACAAAGACAGGCAAATTCAGAAGGTTTTAAGAATAGGAGTTTAGCAATTCAGTTTGTCCGTGAGGGGGAGAAATACAGAAGTGATTAGTTAGTAAGGAGGCAAGGGTGTGACCGCCTAGAAGGTGCTTGTGATTGGGAAATGCAAGTAGATTTAGGGGGAAAGCTTGTTGTTCCCCAGGAAATAGTTTATACCAATCAGAAGCCTGACATAGTGTTATGGTCAGTGAGTCAACGGATAGTTTATTTCACTGAGTTGACAGTTCCTTGGGAAGACTCAGTGGAAGAAGCCTATGAAAGAAAAAAGCTTAGGTATGCAGACTTAGGAGCAGAAGCTGAGCAGCGAGGGTGGAAAACTTGGATTTGTCCAGTGGAAGTGGGGTGTAGGGGATTCATAGCAAGATCAGCTGTCTCACTCCTGGGGGAACTCGGAGTGTGGGGACCAACCTGATCTCACAGAAATACGTGAAATGACCACGACCTCTTAACACCACATTCCGTGGTGGCAGCACGTAATGAGTTGAAATTACGTGCTGCCACCACGAAAACAATGCCAATGTAAAGTCAATTAGGGTCCTCTCCCGTGGTGGACACACGGATTCCCTGATTCAATCACGTCACGTCAACCTCGTTTTCCTCAATGATATCTTTAACATTCCTGTATACACACAAAAACGCGGAAGTGTTCTTGATATTAAAACGGCAAATACATTCCCCTGTTATAATTTCCCACCAATAATAATAATAATGATAATAACGTGATAGTTCGGCTGTTCTAGATATTTGTTATAGCCTATTCAAATATTCAATCACAAAAACGCCGTTT